TGACGGTAGCAGTCTTGGCTTAGTTATGTCACTCAAAACTCGTTGCCGTTTGTCTCATTTGATAAAGAGGGAATCATTAATTTTTTCTCGTTAAGACAGTATTGCCTTGATTTTCCAATATTTACAATGATAGACAGTAAATTTCACTTTTCACCCACATTTACTTCCAACCTTTTCTATTGAAACAGAAACACAAATGATATATGTATGTTATTTGCCGGCTGGGAGGTCCGTATGGTGAAAAACATTTCAAGACCGAGGTCACAGTTTTTCACCGTACGGACCGACCCCTTAGCCGGTAAATAACTTCTTTTTTTTAACTTGACGAAATTCTTTCCGAAAGAACCCGAATGATTTAGGGCTGTAAATATGGCAAGATCTTTCATAAACTGAACAATTTTTGAGCGAGTAAATGGTAGTTAAAATAGAGGTGATACAAATTAAAAAGAGATGCCTCACCGAAACATTTTCATTTCCGTAACGATAAAGGTGATTTAAAAGGCTTCCAAACAAACTTTGAAACATTATTTTTACAAGTATCTGTCACAATCTTACACCTGTCAATTAGGGAGCGTATAAGAAATAAAAAAGCGCAAGAACATTTGAAAAACAACAGAACTGGTTTGGCTTGGACTGTAACGACAACGTTTTCTTCAAAAACGGTCAATGATCTAACGGAAAGTATTATTCACTCTTATCGACGATTCATTCATGAACGAAGATTTACCTCTGTTCATTAAGTAAACGGCGAGGAAAGTAAATGCGAGTAAATTCAATTTTTGTTATTTTGAAGTTGTGAGTTTGTTCGTTTGTTTGCTGCAATGGCGTGTGTAAATCTGGTCTTTCCTCCACAAAAACTACATTCGAATGGCACACTCCAACGAAACAAACGGGGATTTAATGCGGCCTTTTCTCATTGAACTCCTTCAGTTTCTATTGTGCAATTCACGGTACAAATGTCCAAATTGAACGGACTTGGAAAGACTCACCGAGAGCATGAATTAGTTGTAGAACTTAAATTAAAACTTCACTCGCTCTTTTACTGCGAACAAATTGTTTGAGAAAATTCAGATATTAAATTAATAAAAGTTACATCGTTTAGTTTAACTGTAACCAAATACTTCACGTTTTAACTTAGTATGTACTTTTTGTGAACGATTAAAATTAACTGCAGACGGTTGTTAGGCCGCTTGTCAACCAACGTAATTGACACCATTGCTTATACAAATCCATTCTGAAACCAATATTTTTCTGTCGACCAAAGTGATTTGAGTCAGAGAAAACAGAGGATTCATAAGTTATTTATTGGCTTAAGGTTGTGACCGATGTGTTTGCTTAAAAATACTGCACAGCCGGAAAAACGAGATATATTTATGAAAAATGGCAACGAAAGTTGGGATGTACTCGGCGACTCACGAAAGCGTTACCGTGGCCCGTGGGCAGGATAGGAAAATACCAACCGGGTAAAGAACCAATCAGATTGCAGGATTCGTTACTGTGCCCTCTAAAAAAAATAAATGTTTAAAATACATGACATCATTCTCCCTTGTCAAATGTAATAGCATGATCATTTCAATTGTAATGCCTTCTTATCCCAATGTTACTTTGTTTCTTTGCTAAATTAGTGAACACTGAACTACTCCTCGTACTCTAAATATGACAATCAACCACAAAATTCCCTAAACCAGATAACCTTAAACATAATCCAAAAAATTAGATAAGTCATCTGTCAATTCACGAGTTTGCTCACAGAGCACTTTGATTGTGTCTAGTGCGTAACACCTAGACACCTTGCAAAAGCGGTAAGAGATTGAGTGTCAACAAATGACGTAATGCTTTATTGGTTTTTGTAGCTTACTGCTTAAAGAGGCGTAAACTGCTATGGTGTCTTTCTGAGTAAGTGAGTGAAACAACGGAATCGAGCCCACAATGAACTCTGCCGATTTTGATCCGATATTCCCCGATCTTAACTCCTTTTTGAATCTACGGACTTCTGTGAAGTCGTAGATACTATGCTATCCAGAGTGGATAGTCCTTCCGTATGTCCATAACAATGGAAACCTGCGGATAATGCTCGGAATTCAGTTCGGTCTTCTCCAATATCGTTCGATTTTCGTATCTCGCGTCAGCGATCGTGATCGCAATTTTTTGTCTCCTGCAGGTTTTGTGTCGCATTGCTGCGATTCTTTGCACCGCTAAGGAAATATTTGCCCACCCCAAAGGAGTTCAGCCGTCGTATTGCTGCGATTATTTGTTCCACGATTGATTTTTTAAGTCAAAAATCGAAATGAAAGATTAAAATCGCTAAATATTCTCGCATGTGTGCAAATAGGCATGTGGATCAAATTTCAAAGTGAATTATGCATATTTTTTTCGTGTGTGAGAAAATCTCAAGTTTCATGGTATCTATAAATAGGAAGCAAGAGGAAAACATCGCCAGAAATCAAGGACATTTCGAGAACACTAACAATTATCAGCGGTATATCGTATTACACTCCGGAACAATAGAGTATCAAGAGAATTCAGTATGGCGGCGATCACGGCTCGATCTGCAAAGAAGAATGTTTCGTACCATGAGTTATACAATTTGAGCACCGCAGATCTTCTATTTGATGAAAAGAAAAAGAAAAGAAGACCTGCAAGTAAATCTTTGGGATTTTTCGAGGCAGAGCGTTGACATGATGTCCGAATTTTGATTTGCTTTAATTTAATTTTCGCGCTAAGACCACTGAATTTGCATTCAATGCCTGGCATATTTTTATTCCGAAAAGGACCTGAGAACTAATTTATTTCCCTGCAAGATCATAAACAAATAGGGCCGACGATTCGAAGATCAGCGTTGCTCGTGTTTAAATATTTCAGTCATAGTTTTCAACATGGCGTCTCGTCACTTACTCAACATGGAAAATAGGGGATATTCTGGCGCGTTGGGAAGTTTTTTTATGGGAGGAAATGGCAATTTTACAGAATATTTGGACGCTTCGAACTCTGTAGCAGTCAATTCGATCGAGAGCAGTTGACTTTATTGATGCACTTTCCTGTAATAGGCGAGTGTTTGGGATGGAGAACGACGGATTTTGAAGAACTGTATGGCGACCTAGGTCAATGATCAATGACAAAAGAACTGGCTCGGGAAGTCAGTGGTTTTTATTTATCGAGTCCCTGTGAGGTTTGATGAATACTGTCTCGATCGAGAGCAGACGGGACCATGAGCTCCTGATTGTTATATTTTAGAAATTTTACAAATTTCCATACAGTTTCTTATATTATTTGGACGCCATTATGGACGAAATGCGCAAGCGCGGCCGCCATCTTGTCTAGTATTTCTGCCGATGATGACCAAGAGATATTTCGGGACGACAGTTTTACTCAAAACAATTCTTGATTTTCTGTTATAAGCGAAAAACGTTCGAATTTCTTACGTGCACAAAACCCACGCCGTAAAATTCATCATGCTTAGATCGTTGTTTCCTTGACTTCACGGCAAGAAATTGCGTAGCGTTATGATGAAAATTCTGAAAGTACTACAATTTGACGTAAAATCTTCTATTAAACAATACTTTTTGAACACGTAATATTTACCGACCAATGGAGTCGTCAAATTGTCGCTAGGCCCTGCTTGAATTTCGAAAGTTGGGTATTCGGTTTACAGCCACAATTCGCATCGCTTTAGAGAACCGTTGTGTCGTTGACTCGAGAGTTTGTTCTGTCACCTTTAAGACCTTGACGTCCATTATTTTCCAAACAGAGTATTCTGTAGCATTCCTACTTTATATGCTGAGTTCCACAAGGTCTAACTCGATCGCAAAGGAACGAAAAATCCGACTTAAATATTTTGAAGGTCGGCCGTTTCATTTTCAAATATTTGATCATTTTAGAGTGAACGCATAGAATAATGCCCCTTTAATACCCCCTAAAGCCATCAACATATTTTTGCAAACGAAGGATTCTGATTGGTTTTTTTTATCTCCTAACGATAGAGGAAGTTTGGGGACAAAAATTCTACTTAGTAAGGGAGGTAGGGACAGTTACGGGTGGTTCAGGTGTCAATGTGTTAGCATATTATATTTATACTAATAATATATTTGTTTCGTTCATCGCGGAGCTTGCATTTTTGGTTGCACTATATCTTGAGTTGTGAGTAATTTCTAGTGTCGTTTCAGGACGGTTATATATGGTATTCTAAGTAATAACAGGTGCAGTAAGCTATATGCAGTCATCGACTGCCTATTTTTTGTGAAGTTTACAGTACGTGTCAAGCTACATGCGGTAAGCGATCATCTCGTAACACAAATTTTACGAGAATGCGTAACCAGTGAAGTGGCGTAACCACTTGGATATTTAGTCATGAGATCTGTCGTGTTAAGGCGGATATCCTTATTTGGTTAGCAAAACTCCTGAGGCAAACAAAGGAATATTCGGAATCGAAGAAGCAAAAGTTGTAGAAGACAATGTGCTTTGTCAACTGTCGCGTTTTAAGGGGGGACTGAGGTGGCGAGGAAAGTTTATTTTGGCGAGTAAACCAGACTTTTCTAAGATACTCATACCTGCTCTCACCTTTATAATTGACAATTTATAAGACATTGTATAGTTTTGTATAAGCCTTTCGTTTTAACTTTTAGATTATCTGAAGTCGTTTAATCTTAATTTCATATTGTAAGCCTTTTATTGGAACGCCCTAAATACGTGCGAAAAGTCGTCGCAAATTGTACCTAAATTGTATCTATCTTTGTTTTACAGAACTAAATATTTGATGGAAATTCACATGTTGAAATCTGTGCGATTTATTCATATCAAAATGGGGTGACCGCCTAATAGAGCTGAAAATGACACAAAGGGGCAAACGAAACTTTCGGGACTTTGAAAGCCGACCGCTTAATACGGTGCTGCTTAATACAGTTCGACTGCACGTTTTTGTCAGTTATCCACCAACAAGCAGAACTCTTGTTGCGGTAGTTCCCTGTACAAGACTGCTTTTACTTAAATCTGACATCTGTAATTCATAACCTTTTTATTATCTGCTGAGCCAGAGGTAAAAGAGGGAGGCTTAAAATGAGTTATCACAGGCTCTATTCACAAACTGTTTTATCGTTCAAATCCAACTAGAATTAAGATAGAACTGTAAAAGCTGTGTCTTTTGCTTCACATCAGTCAGAAAGAAACGAACAGGGTTGCTAAGCGGGATATAACTTTATGATAATAATTAATATCGAACATACCACAAAATTCGTAATAAAAATATTAAAATTTACTGTTTATACTTTATAGAGAGAAGTTAATAAAAGTTGATCACATCGCGTGATGAAGGCTGTGTCTTCGATTTGCATTAGAAGTGACTACATCATGAGGGCATAATTAGTTGCGAAACGTTTTACTATGAGACAGTGGCGGTTATAGTTTACTGGAAATGTTTTGAGAATGAGAATGTTTCCCAGGTAAAAGAATATGGTGCTTTTTAGGAACTGCTCGATGTTATTGTCTTCAGCTTTGAAAATTATGGAGACACTGGCTCGCTGAGATCACCGGCTCAAAATTCAATTCAATAAGAAGTCAACCGATGTAAGCTGGTGCCAGCGCTTCTCGGGTTGTGTACGTGATGAAAGGATGAAATAGATGTCCAGGTTTGCTTCTGTATGGCCGTGGGCGGGCATTTATTTAGTACCACAAAAAATAGGGGACACGTACACCAAGATATATTGATGTTTACAAAAAAAAACAGGAAAAGTGAATAAAAATTTGATTTAAAACATTTCTCAGTATAACAGCGTCTTCATGGCTCTTTACAAAAAAACAGGAAAAATGAATAAAAACTTGATTTAAAACATTTCTATAACAGCGTCTTCATGGCTCTTTAATGCTGGAAATACAGGTTGTTACCGATTTTATCTTCGGAGAATGTTATCAGTCGCAACCCGTGACTCGCGACTACTGGTCAAACTCACGACACGTTATTGGTGATAGCATGAAACACATTTACTCTTCGAAAACAACATCTCTCTTGGTTTGGACTTGGATATTAGTTGAGAGAGAAACGTAAAATAGACGGGCTAAAAAATTGGCAAGCAACTTGGCGCATGTCGGTTGCGGTTAACCATGGTTGTTAGGGATACAGCAATAGAAAGAGAGCGCTCTTTCGCATGCCATTTTTTGCACACTCTATTCTTTTTCCCGTGGAAAAATTTTTCGCTCTCCTGTTCGTCTCCACCAACTGAATGCCTGGAACTTGACGAAAAAAGGATAATAAAGGGCAAAAATAACAAATAAAAAAAAGAAAAAAGAGGAAAAAGGAACAAAAAAGGAAATAAAAGAAATAATTATAAAAGAGGTACTACCTCAAAGTTTCAACCCTTTCAACTTATTTTTTCTTGTGTTAATCGACCTAGAAATTTTGTTTTTGAAAAGCTGCCTTAAAGTTAACGGCCCGGCTGTATTTTCTATTCATATTAATTAATATTTTCATACGTCTTACAGGATCTCAGGGTAACTTATTTCCCAGAGCGGAAAGATAATTCTTCACGCGGCAAATTAGTAACGCAAACTTGCAAAATGATAAGAGAAATTTTAAGAACGGAAACGACATTTCTATAACATTTAGGAAGTTTCACAGTGAAAAAGAAGGGTGCTTATCACTTAGTGCCATCATTTTTACGGTTGTTTTGAACTTTAAAATTAAACTTAATGAAACAAGCCTAAAACTAACTAAATACGATTAAAATTTCAACTTCAGTAAAGCATTACGCATTTTAATTTAAGCAAGAAGGCTGAACTATCTGCACCGAGCCCATTCTGTGATATTTGAAGTCGCTCCACTGAAACAAATTTCCCGTCCCTGTCAAGCACGACTTGGACATGCGCCTGATTTCTTCGTCTGAAATCACGTGATTCCAGATATTGACATCTGCCATTTCACCAATGAAACTTTGATATTCTTGAAAGCCTCCTCCCAATTTGTCTTGATCCTGTCCAAGTACAAGGTGTCCACCTCCGCGGATCAATCGGCCTGTAATTAAGAGCAAGAATATGTCTCCATTCCTTCGCTAGTCGTGCTTTTAAACCAATTCGTGGAAAAGTATTTATTGTTTTTTTGTTGTTGTTAGCTTTTTTAAAGGTGTTTTAGTAATACAAGAGCAAACGATTTAAATAAAGTTGTAGTAAGCAAAACGTTTAATCTGCAAATTTTCACATTTTTTTTGAAAATACTCGACTTGCCTGACGGCAAAAGTTTGTGAATTAGTTTGATGTTCGATATTTTCTGAGTACAAATTACCTTTTGCTAATCCTCTACCACTAGCCCCCAATGAACCATCCTTGAACAATTTCCACGATCCAGCAGTATTCTCCCATGCGAAGCAGATGTGATGCCACTTTCCATCGTTGGCAGATACATTGGTGGGACTACTATAATGAACATTGAAAGGATTCAAAGTCTTTCCTTAATAATCCATTTTGAAAAGGTTGAACGATAGATAAAGTAGTTGAAGATTATTGGTGTGATAGATTTTGAGTCTGGCGCGATAATTATTGAACCTGTATCCCTCTTCTATCTCTTTCTGCACGTAGAGAGGTGAAATGCTAAAATATCATCAAGCTCTGTCTGCAAGGCACTTGATGCCATTTTCATGAGATGTTTTATTGTTGACTTCCCATGATTCTAAAACTTTCGGGTTGCTGGTGATGCGTCTTCATATCAAGATATGGATAAATTTGAGAAAGAAAAACGCACAACGCCGAGTTTTTTTAAGTCAAACATCGGCTTTGTCCAATAGTACTGTATTTTATGGATAATAAGTTTAAGGAAATAACATTCAGGGCTCCGCTATTAGGATTAGCTAAATATGGTTCACTAAATAGCTATGACAACATTTACTATTGCAGATTCATGATTTAAATAATACAAGGCGGACTCTGCACATCATGTGCAGTTTATCGTTCCTATTCCTCAATAAAAGTGTATTCTCGTACCTCCAAACTGATCGTAAGCTGAACACAAAATCTCTGGGCCTTAATAAGAGCAGTTCGTTATCTTCTCCGCTCACAGCATAGCTAAGAAGTGTTCCTCTATTTCCTGTAGCATTAGTCTTTATCCACATACAAAGTGTCACAGCTGTAAGGCTTGGCATTCTATGCGTGATGATTACGTAATCATTTTCACTCTTATATGGAAATAACAAAGAGTAGTTCGGGCTGACTGAAATCAAACGAAAGGATATTTAGTGAGGAAATGGAGTTTTTAGATGTTATAACCATCGTAACGGAATGTTCTACCCACGAGAAAAGTCTAGAACTCATCTTAGCAAGAATGACTGGTAACTTATATCTCAGAATCAAGAATATTCCCTGTTACATACAACATCCCGAGTGATTTCAAGACTTCAACGACTCTTCTGTTAAGTGATGAAACACCCACAAATTTCATACACGATATACAACGCGACTCTTACTTTCTCAGTGACATTGCAAAACGTAACGGATATGTTCGGAAGCATCCCCACAACGTCCGAAAAACCAACAAATTGATTATTGCGTTTCGACATTTACTGACTAAAGTTAGATACACACAAACGAGATTAGGGATTCCAGTTGCTGGGCTCCCTGTAACATCAAAGAGGTTTGCAGGTACATCAACGGAAAACTGACTCAACATAAACGAGCGATGATGTAAAAAAATCAAATGGCGGAACATCATCAATCTACAAACCACACTATTGACTGGGACTTTGCCCAATGCTTCATCTGCAGCATTAACTAATTTCAATGATATACTTCGTCTCCGGTTGTCATTAAGGCTAATAACAATTTTTTCAGGACTAACCTTACCCGAAAGACACTCTAAATAATTATGGAGTCAAACTCTTACTAAATTCACAAGTTGGCTGCACTCCCGTCCATGAACCGTTGACCAGGTAGAGACGCTCTGAGGGTCCATTCAACCAGTAACCACAGTTAAATCTGAATGAAATAGACTCCCCCGTGCAGTTTTTCTGACTGTGTGAAAAACCACTCTTCAGGTTTTTCAACAAAGGACAAATTTTCCTGACTGATTAATAGATAGATGTAAATACACAGACTCATGAATATAAATATGTCAATATAGATTAATAAAGAAAAATATAAATCTCTTGAGAAATGTTATTAAGTTTCTCATCTCTGATTGTACCATGATTATTTTTACATCATAATAGTTGATTGGCTAGCTAGGGTGATGCAAGTTGGCATAGGGTAGTAGAGCAAAATCAAGCAATCCTACATTACTTACAACACGAAAGTGAAAATTATTTTAAAGATGCATACTTTGCATAACCGATGTCTTTATCGTTTCAGATGTGTTCTTAAATTGCAAAGAGAGCTCTTCGATTGACTTAATCACGAAATCCAGTTTCCTTACGACACTTTTGTTAAACGAGTGAGGACTTGTGTACCACGCCTCGGTTGTTTTGTGAATTGGAGCCAGTCTTCCTGAAGAAATTGAAAGACATAAACAAAGATCTTAAAATCTTTCAATAATAAATGCGTGGGACAAAAAAAACATATTGGTTCATGGTGTGATTTCGAAATGTCAAAGAAGAAAGTTTTTCAAACAAATTTCGATTCTTACGTACTGAATCAAAATGAATTTCACAGAGAGATTACAGCTGTTTCTGAGTACTATTTCCAAGTTACGCTGCCCTGCGTGATTGTAATTTTCACATAATTTACAAAGTGGTTTTTAAGGTTATCTGCGTAAGGAAAAAATATCTGAGATTTCCCAAAAATTGGGATTTTGACATGCAAGTATATTTAAATGAAATTAAATCGAACTGTCAAATAAATCTTTTACACTTTTGAAAGTCTACTTTCAGGACATAATATTGAATTTCTCGAGAGGTTCCCCACGTGTGTTGATAGAGTGTTTGTGTGGAGTACATTCAAAGAAGTGAAGCCAAAGATCACCAAGCCACTCGCAAGCGAGGGTTGGATGCAATCGGATTGTGTTACACTACATCCTTGAACATGCGTTAGATGCGTAATGTCCACTTGCGTATTGGTAAAATTTTTGGGCTTGAAATTGGCGTTTTACATCGCTTTTACGCGGCCTTGGGCGGCCACCCCCAGCCATTCTTCGTGGGTGACCTCTTGATGCAGGTTTAACTGTGTAGGAAAATTATGTCATAAGGGAGGATTGGTGACTCGACGTGAACAGCCACAAGGAGGAGGAATGTTCATCATTGAGTCAGACTTGTTTTTTGTTTTGCATCTCCTTGGTTGAGAGGGAGGCCCAAGTTTTCTTCATAGATCAATCATTAGCCGCATTAAAGCAAAAGCAATACTACGTAAGTTGAAAATCAATGAAAATATACATACCTTTCATTTCCAAAGCAGTCGTCCTTTCAGACATGTTATTAACATTCACGTTTACTAAATCCAATTTTCGTTCGATATTTGCGTCCAGGGAGTCGAAGCGTTTGGACAAAGCTTCAATGGCTTTGAACATTGAGTCCTGGTTACCTGTAAACAATCGCGACAAAATAAAAGCTAAAATGGCTGATTACACACGTAGGTGGTGCAAAGAAAGATTATGGCACGTTGTGAACATTCGAGCTGCAGCCCAGATCCCCTACCAAATGAAATTCAACCATCGAACCTTTTAGAAAAGGCTTCCGATAGTTTTGTTCATTGTCTTCAGTTTTTTCAAGGACCTTAAGATGAGCAGTGAAAAAAGAGGCCCAATACACACGCATATATGCGACTTAAAATGCATACCTTGCATTTCCAAAGCAGTTGTCCTCTGAGATGCGTTCTTAACATGGACATTTACTAAATCCAGTTTTCTTCCGATATTTACGTCCAGTGAGTCAAGACGTTTGGACAATGCTTCAAAGGCTTTGTACATTGAGTCCATCTTTTCTGTAGACAATCGTGACAAATAGAAAAGGATTTTTAACGCAAGCGATAACCCATTTAAGTGCCCAGGACAAAGGACAAACTGGGTTTCCTGGTGAGGATTCTAGCCCCTCCTTGTTTTTTTAAAACAAGGAAGGCTGGTTTATCAAATTAGAGCAGGCACATCTATTTAGATGACAAAAACGACTTTCACGTTAGCTATGACTTTTTCACAAATCAAAACCTCACTAAAGAAAACCACTACAAGTTCTTAATATAGAAACCTTGCATTTCCAAGACCGTTGTTCTTTGAAACATTCAAATTTACGAGATCCTCTCCGATTTGTTTGTCTTGCCAGTCAAGGCGATTGGACATAGCTTCAATGGCTTCGTTTATTGAGTCCAGTTTTTTTATGGACAGCAATGATAAATGAAGATGTTAAAAAACTGATTGTTTACGTATGCGGAACAAGGTTCTCGGTAATGATTTGGGCCCATGAGCGACCCAGACGTTTTACTGACTGAAATAAAAGAGCTGAGCCTCACTGAAAAAGTTTAGCATTCTCCACATTTGAAGGTCGGCTCTTTTCTTTACTGAGGCCGCTTTTTCTTGGCAAGGGGGGAAGGGGAGAGGGAGTTAGCAGATGCGTTGCATTGACTGATGAACCGCGTTAATTGGCTCAGGAATGCCCGAGTGAGTCAAAGAAGAGAAAATGCAGGACATCGGCAAGACGTTTCAAACGCAAGAAGCGTAAAACTCCATTCCACAAGAAGCTGCAAAAGGGGAACTAACGCAACTGTGAACTTCAAATAGCAGTAAGAAGTCGTTTTGCAACATTTTGGTAACTTCCCAGCTTATGCGTTACGAACGAGTGATTCATCAGCCAAACAGATGCTGACCCAAACACTTCTACTGAGAGGGAAGATAAGGTTTAATCGCTGAAATAATATGCGCGCAGTACAAGCCAATTTTTTGGTGCCCTAACCGCATATAAACATCCTTCTTCAAACGTATGTCTTACCTTTCTGTGCCCCGCATAGCCTTCGTCCTGATACTGACAGCGTAATAAATATCAATAACAGGGCCAGCAAGACAGCCATGGTGAGCAAACAAGCGATCTTCCAGTGTGCAGCTGTTCCCCACCCCCTTTTAGTCTTCTGTTGCTGATCTTCATCAATAAGCAATGGTTCCATTCTGAAACGCAACGAAAAGGAGTAACCTTGGTTTCATCAAAGGTAAGCAATACCAAGAGGAAATACAACTAAAAAGGATTCCTGATCGCAGATTGGTGAAACATTTCAAGTTCTGTACGTGGTTTTCGCATTTGAAAATGAAAATATTCAGTCTACATTTTTTGTTAAAAAATTTCACCATTTGCCGATTCTATATTCAGGAAGAATCTAAACGACAATCGCAAACAACGTGCACCACTTTCACAGAGAGTTTTAACCCTTCAGTCCTAACACGAGCAGGCGTTAATTGGATCAAAATCCGAAATTCTCTCAGGTGAATGTCGCAAAAACTTCCTGACACGCTTGAAGAATTGGTACTGTTTTTCCTGGTGCAGTGGGGGGGCGGCTGTTCACAGGCTAAGGTGTTGCTGTCGCTGATTTTTTTTCTTTTTTCATCTAATCGAAAGTTGATGTGAAACGGAATCAGTCATTCTAAAGGTTGCGTTGTAAAAGATTAACGTATCAAATCACCTACACTGTGCGGCCAAGAGCCCTTTATACTGACACAGCACTCGCCTGCTTTATATTGGTAATACAGAAGTTTGAGTCACGTATCACAGATGATCCAAGTTGGCTAAAATCTTTATTGGTAAGTCATTCTGCCAAAAACTCTTATGCTGATTATTACGTTTGATGACAAAGAGCTAGAAAACTGAATGCGACACTAACTTACTGTTTTTGCTAATAGTTCCCTTATTAAGCGTGTTGTTTTGGAGTTACGATGGAATCAAAACATAAAACTACTCCGAATTAAAACAGATTATATATACTTATATACTATATAAAATTAACGTTTTTTAGTGGGGGGAACGCACATGACTGTTACACTCGTAAACAGAAAAGCGAAATCTTTACTCATTACCGCGAACTGCACCTGGCTCAGGAGATAACTTACAAGAATTCGAAACTCCGACTATGCCGAAAATCTGCAAAAATATTCGAAACAGACATTTTAATCTAAGCTCTTTTAGGTCTTTGTTCTTCCCAACAAGCCTTCACAAGCTAAACGCGATGAGAGGCCCGGCATGGCATTGCAAACGATTTAACCGTCAATCAAGAACAGCAAAGCCAACGCATTTAAATATTTCGCAAATAACGCAAGGGATATTAAAACCAACCTGAGGTACTGGTTCCGGAGTAAAAAGACAAAATAATTACAAGCTTTCACGCGCAAGGTCAAGATTCAACCGCTGATCTTTGGTTCAAAATGGAATTTATCCCCGAATTCTAGCTGCTGCAGTTGTTTATGTCTTTCATCATCGAACCATTTCGAGAAACCATACAGATATCACGTGATGAATTGGACCATTCTTCGGAAAAAGTTGAATCGCGTGCAGACATGAAAACTGAAATGAATATCTCGACATTTTTGTGTCTAGTGCGTAGTAACCAAGCACCTTGCAAAAGCGGTAAGAGATTGCGTGTCAACAAATGATGTTTGCCTTAACTGTTTTGTGAAGTTTACCGTACGTGTCAAGCTACATGTTTTAACCTCGATACTATTGCTGTCTTTGATGCATGCAAAGATAATGGTACTTTGTTGCGTGATTAAATTCAAAATCATTGAAGTATCTTACAGAGAATCACAATCTTAGTAATTTCATTTCTATAGCTAAAATTGACCAAGTTATTTGTTATTTTATCCGAGGGAACTCAGCAAACAAGGCCAAATATAGAGTGAGAAATATCTTTATCATGCGTTCAGAAGTTTGTTTTTTACAACTTCGCAAGTTTTTAACCAGTGAGAACAAGTATGATATTGAAAAACCGACACGAACATGAAAGGAGACGGTAAAATTGGCAAATTGTTTAAGGCACGAGAAAACACAAGTGTCTATGGTACGAATGGTTTTAGTTTTACATCTCATCACTTGATAGGAAAACCAAATCAAGACATTTCCGAGTTGTTTTCCACACTCAATTTTAAAATTGCATCGACCGAAAAAGATTGGTCTCAGCATTGGTAGGATGGTCAAGAAAAGATACGGGCACGCATCAGATTATCAACAAAGACCTGTCAAAATTTATCTTTAATGTAACATCCTTCATAATGTTTACAAATCACGTCATGGATGTTTTCACTTCAGCACGATGGCTTAATTATCTTCACTGAGCCCTTGATGTGAGCTTTGAACTCGCGCCACTGAAACACGTTGCCCGTCCCTGTCAGGCACGACTTTGACATGCGTGCGATTTCTTGGTCCTTTAGAACGTGATCCCAGATGTTGACACCTGTCATTTCACCGATGAAAGATTGATTGGCATCAAAACTTCCTCCCTTTGAGTCTTGCTCCTGCCCTAGTACCAGGGCTCCATTTGCACGAATCACGTAGCCTGTGAGGACATTAACAGGAAATTAAGGAAAAAGATAAATTCACCGGTTAAAAATGACTGGAAAGTGAGTACATTCTTTCCCTTTTTTAGTTTTCTTAATCAATAGTTTACCGAATAAGTGAGTCATGTCGCTCTGTTTGTTCCAACCTCCGCATTACTCTTTGGGAACTACGCACTTTATCCTTAACTCTTTCAGGTAAACTTCAAAAAATGACAAATGATGGTAACCTTTTTTCTTTTATTTTTTTTTGTCAACAGTATTTACACTAGTGATTAGTGCTATATCTCATTTGAAAGAGGACAAAATTAGCTTTTCAGAAAAAATATATTTAGCCTCCAAAAATCCATGGATTTTAAATCATGCTAAGAAAATGGCATACAATTTGCATAAATTATTGTACAACTTTTGACTTTGAAACAGCCTGAGCCTGAATGGATTGGAGTAAAAAAGGAAACATTTCTTAGATAAAATATTCCTTATCTTATGGGCAAGACATCCAGAGACTCTGGCTGAAAAAGAACAAATATGGAATTAATTAGAATTTTTTTTCCAAACTGTACCCCAAAACCATAAAAAATTGACCCAGATTATTGAAAAACTTAATCTTCACCAAGTATTTACACAAGGGAAGTAAGCTATACCTCACTTGAAACAGCAGTAAATAAGCTTTCCTGAAATGCATGTTTCCTCTCCAAGAAAAAGGAAACAACCTCATTGAATGCTTTCAAACTAACATTAATTAGCATAAAATATCATCAAAATTTGAACTGTGAATTAAGTGATACCCAAATAATACAAAGTAATAAGGCAAAAATTAACTTAAGAGGTTCCTTGTTATATGGGCAACATCTCCATAAAAAATTGGTTAGAAGATAACAAATCTGAGACGTGTTACACATATCTTGTCAACACTGATTGACACACTGACTAATTAGTCTGACCACATCATCACCCCAAGCCCAAATTTACTAATCCCTCTTGAAGTCTACAGTGCAATCATTGGAACTATAGTTTTTTGTTTGACTTCTGAAATTTTGCCTTGAAACAGGGACAAATGAGATAATCAACCTCAAAATACATAAAGTGCAACATATATCAAAAGCCTTTCACGTGCAATGCAACACCAGTATTTTCAAGAGTAAACAATTCAGAAGTGAAATGCCCAAATTAACTAATCCCTCTTGAAGTCTACAGTGCAACCATTGGAACTATTGTTCTTTGTTTGAAGATTGACATACGGACTAATTAGTCTGACCTTATCTTATCATCACCCCAAGCCAAAATTTACTAATCCCTCTTGAAGTCTACAGTGCAACCATTGGAACTATATTTCTTTGTTTGACTTCTGAAATTTTGCCTTGAAACAGGGACAAATGATATAATCAACCTCAAAATACATAAAGCGCAACATATATCAAAAGCCTTTCACTTGCAATGCACCACCAGTATTTTCAAGAGTAAACAATTCAGAAGTGAAACCGGAAACTGTCATTTTTTTTTTCATTCCACTCATTCTCGAGCATAATTTGTTTGTTTTGTGAATTTTCAGCATGTAACAAGTAGAACCACATCTAAAAAACATACAAAACATATAAGATAATGTACAGGTCGATATATATTCAACTATCGTTCTAAAAATAAAAGATTTTATTTGATTTAGTTCGGACGCACACTGCGTCATATCTGTCATCGCCTGATAATTTAGGTCGTTGCGTTCTAACATTCCATTGAAGATTATTTTCTCTGTCGCTCAAAAATCATGTTTGATCATAAGATATGTTGCTTTTCATTCACAAATATACATTTACAGGGTTGTCTCAAGGCAAAAAACAAGGATTCGTGCGCGAAAAGTAAAAGTAAATGTTTCAACACCACATGCGTCACGCAATTAAATATCGCAAGAATGTTTACAGATTACTTACCTCGATTCTTCGCTAAGATTTTCCAGTTTTCTTTCTAATTCGGATTCCTCACCACTAGAGATACCACCATGCTCACTTCCATCGTCAAAAATCACCTCTAAAGGCTTAGCTAAGCTGTATCTCTAGCGTTTCGCATCGGACGCCATTATCGCAGACTGAAATCGTTCGCAAATAATTTTCGGATCGGGCTCCCGAGGTCACGTTTGATAGTTCGGAGCTAAAACTCGCCATGTGATTGGCTTAGAATGTTTACATGCTACAGCCGAAATTTCAGAGCGATCGGATGTAATCCGAGCATTTCCGAAAAGGTCAACGTCATCGTGCAATTTTGCACGATCTGCCAAAGGCCTGACCAGAAAGAGTTAAGTGACTAACATAACGTACACTGTAGCATTTAAGTGATAAATTTTGTAATCGTCTATCAAGTAATTTTACCATCACGGTGACGTGCATTTTTGTCAAGGTTTTTGCATGTTTTTCAAATTTTTATCTTTTTGGCATCATTGATCATTACCTCGTCAGAGTTTGTCTCATATATTTTCCTTTTTTGCGCATTTATTGGTTTCTCTAGTATCCCTAGTCTTAGTTCGCCTTCTTCTGCTTCTTAGGGTGGTTTTTCTCAGCGTTACTTGCAAATCACATATAGAGCATTCAGGAGGTAATTTTTCACTAATCGTTTTTTCTCCGCACAAGGCAGTGTAGTTCACAACGCAATTATTTGCGGTTAGTGTCCGCGATAATTTTACGCAGTGTAACGAAGTCTCCAGAAATTAATAGAACATTGATTTACCACAACGCTATTGCATAACCTGAGCTAGAAACTTCTCCATATTTCGGAACATTCTATTGAATTATTTTAAGGATATGTCATCATTAGCGTCTAGAATGTTCTTGCTGCTAAAAATAGTGTTTCAGAAATAAGTATGATGTAACCGGCTACTATAAATGAGGTTCGAGATCGTAAGGGTTTCAGAAGTTTACGATAAATAATAAAGTGTTTAAAAGGGAAAACAAGGATCCTCTCCTGGCTTCGTGACACGCAGTTTCCTCCCAGAGACTTTCGTTTACAGTGGCCGTTCAAATGTAAATGCAAACCGGGTTTAACTGAATGAAAATCAGAAACAGAGAACTGAAACACTAAATTTATCGTGGGTTTCAAGCATTTGACAACATTCAACAGTCAACAACAAACATTAGTTTAGGTAGCTTCTATGAAGAAAACAACCTTTTGACTGACCGTGTTTCGCGAAACAGCTTTAAAACATGTTTAAGCTTTGGTTTTTATGGAGTATAAGTCTATCTACGCCTTCTATTTAAAACTACTTTTAAGTTTACGTGCACTTCATACTTAGTTTATTTCAATCAATATTGTAGAATCCTGGCGGTTCTGTCATTTCGGCCGCTTTGTATTAGCAGTTACGCACACTAAACAATTAATACTATTGTACGGACCATTGCAAAAAGAAGAATTTACCTGTTTGGAAACTTTTACCAGAAGCGGCAACCGAACCATCTCGAAATAATTTCCATGATCCAGCGGTATTCTCCCATGTTAGGCAGATATGATGCCACTTTCCATCATTGGCGGATACAGAAGTAGAACCACTAAAATTAGCAGCAAAACGCGAGAAGTGTACTTTTAGCATCTTAAAGCTTACAGCAACACTAAATCAAAACAACTATTGTGATTAACAGCGAGACAAAACTTCAGATGAAATACTCAAACCTCCCATGGTTGTTGATGTAAATCCTCAAATTTCTATAGTCATTTATTATAAGCTCGTTGCGTCCTCCAGACATAACATAGCTCAGAGGTGTTCCTTCATTTCCAGTATCAGCGGTTTTTATCCACAGACAAACCGTCACAGCTGACAGGTTTGGCAAACCACGTGTGATGATGACGTAATCACTGGTTCCTTTTCGTGGAAATTGAAGAGAGTACCCTGCAACTGTAGAATTACTCAGTTTTTTTTAATTTGTGAAAGCTGCTTTCGAAGCCTCTTTAAAAAAAAGTCCTGCTCTCGTCTTAAGCTTTAATTGTTTTCAGTGCAACTTCTGATTTGATGCAAGTCACAAGGGTAGTTCAATTACAAAAGGTTATGGTTCTAGAGATTACTGTTAACGTTTTTAGGAGAACTGTCACCTTACACCTTTTTCAATCCGATGATCAAGTGAGTCTTTGATTACGACAACAGCATTCCAAGAAATGCGGCCAATTTTTTTTTCAAGCGTGAAAAGCCTAATATCACCACCCAAGTGGCCGCTAAAAGAGGCGAAACAATTTTTCACGATGCACAAATAATTATAGTATGAGTGCTGTGCAACCTACTAAGTTACTCGTCACGCCAGCAGTTAATATTCGAATAAAAGATTTCCAAACAATAACTAACGTAGTTCAGTATGACCTATGAAAAGCTTCGTCTGATTAAAAATAATTCTGAAAACAAACATTTCTGCAATCTAAACCGTAAGGAACTCAGAGAGCGCTGCCTCTTCTGAATTTAAATTCGGGAAATTTGGTTACTGAGAAGGGTACAAGTATTGTATTTTTTAAAAGGTAATGTTTACAAGTTGCAAGGAGCAGTCCAATACAATGTAAAGGTATTTGGTAATCTTATCTGTATCAAGAAAAAAAGCTAATCCTACCTTGTTTCTCCAAGCCTGTTAGCCTCAAGTTCATGGCGTGGAGCAACTTGGACAAATCTTCATTCGACTCGCTTAATAACTTTAATCTGTTTTTGATTTTAGCCAATTCCAGTTTCGTTTCTCGGGTGGAAGACATAACTACTTCATTATGGTCTCCAGCGATGAAAACTTTGCCATCCGAGATGGTCGTATTCACTCGAGTAGATGAGGAAATGTGAGGTGAAGCCACAAAGATCAGGAGCAGATAAAAACGAATCGATTTAGCAGCGAACATGGCGACAGAGAGAGCTGAGGTTTGCTAATAAGACTCAGTCATCAGAGAAACAAAAGCAATTTTTTATGAAGCACGATGCATTTTCACTAATGTAAATAAAACAAGTTTATTTTTCTGCACGACGATGATGTTTGCTTTTTGCGTCTTATAAGATACTTGTGACACAGTTGATTACCGGCCCATCAGTTGATAAACTGGACTTTTAGTGAGCAAGTAGGAGTGATTTAGACATCATTTATACAGCTGCACTTCAATTTATCGTCTTCTTCTCCCTTTTTTTCCTTCTCCTTCTTTATTTTGTTTTTGTTTTTTTTTTAGTTGGGTTTTCCTGTTTTTCAGTTTGACGTTTCCTATCACATGCTAATTTTTGACGAATATTGTGTTCAATGTGTACAGAAACGGTTTTCTGCAATTATGCGATTTTGTAGCACACAACTGAATACACTACAAGAAGAGAAAAAAAAGAATAATTTGCAGGAATTTGTTAAGTATATACTCTATTTCCGAAATGCCTTTTTATGTCGGTATCGGAATTAAGTATTCCTTTGTACAAGCTGTGCGACAAGACGACGCATTAGACAATACAAGATGAGCCATGATAGGAGCAGTATTGTTGTTATCTTTCTCTCTCACTGTTTCATCTCTGCTAATACATTGATTAAATTGCCTTACGAATTGCTAGCAAGTAGTGAAGTAAGGGATGGATAGAAGTCTAAATTTACATTGTGAGCAACTGGGAAGAAAGCGAACAACAGCATAATAGATGTGGGCTGACAAATTGTGAAGCCGATATTTGAAATTCAAATTTACATCTTTGCAGTCTTGGCAATTGTTTCATTGGTTTCAAGCAAATCCGTGTCAACAGACCAGGATATTGACATTGAGGTTTTCACTCTTGTTCGGATAGTTAAAGCGATTACATGAGCCCATGGCGATCATCGATCAGAAAGGAATTTTTGGAACAAGAAAGCGCCAGGTTATTTTCCAACGTTGTCATCTTTTTCTACAATTTTTCTTCTTTGATGATAAATGACTCCAATTTCAAACGTTCTTAGAAATAAAGGAGTGACATCCAGGACAATTTCCTAAAATGGACCAACATTTTTGAGCCAACAAGACATTTTGACATCCCTACCTCAACAAATTCCTTAGTTGTGAAAGCTTCAATGCATTATTTGAGCTTTCAATGTGCACTTTACATTTTACAACTAGCTTTCGTATTTCTTTCTCCGATGCTCTGCCGTTAAGATACAGAAAATCTATAGTGAACTGGGCCATTATATAGTTCATATGCGACGCATGTGTCGCATACTGCTAGAACCAGCAATATTGAACTGAGCCACGTGCGAGTAAATAGACTAAGAAGGACGGCAAAGTAAAACAAAAAGCCATAGCTCTTTCTACCTTCAACGACCGATCTAAAAATCAAGCAATAGAGGAATTTTTCCGAGTTTATATTGCATCATCTAAACACGCAGGGAGTTGGGACAACTCAAGAAAGTTATGCTAGCCCAAGACGCGGTGAGAACTTTCCAAAGCCTCGAGTGTTTGAATGAGGCTATGCAACTAGGGAAGGAAATCATTGTTTACATGTCCTCATCGAAACATCTCGAACGTAGCCATAAGATTGAGTCCACCAACATATCCTTTACTCCAAACTTACTGCTAACTAATAGGTTTTGATCCCAAAGCGTTTTACATGTTTCGATTAATATCAAATAAAAGATCATGCGCTTGAGTAGCATTTACGACATGTTGTTAGTGATACTAGGAAAGTCTTTTCAGTCTCCGAAAACAGGATCTCTTTTAGCCTGTGCCAGGATATCAGTTAAGCGAACCAGACGTTTTATTAACTGAAATAAAAGAACTGACCCTAAAGCTTACTGAAAAAGTTTGACATTCCCCGGCAAGGGGGGAGAGGCAAGGGGGGAGAGGCAAGGGGGGATAGGGGGTCAGTAGTGGGTGTGTTGCATTGACTGATGCATGATAGTTGCGCAAAAACCGCATTAATTGGCGCAGGAATGCTTAAGTAAGTAAAAGAAGAAAAAATGCGGGTCACCGGCAAGACGTTTCAAACGCAAGAAGCTTAAAATTACTCCCCACAAGAGGCTGCGAGGGGTAATTAATGCAACTGTGAACTGCCAACAGCGATAAGAAGTTGTTTTGCAACATTTTGGTAACCCGCTAAATTACAACAGTCACGCGTTGTTCAAATAAATTAGATGGGAACCGAGGCGTTGTGAAATGTCATATTCACTATACTCATGTTCCTATCCTAAAATAGTATTAAAGTATTAGATAATCGATAACCTTTGGGGGCAGCCTCAATATTTCTTAGGAAATAGCCAACATATTCGAGTTCATTTTATAAGATTGTGCCGAACTGTAGCACCTGTAGCGGTTACCTAGAATTGAATAAGTCAGTCTGAACATGTTTATGACTAATACTGTCATTGTTTGTGACACAAAAAGACAAAACATATTTTTGTAATGTATCAAACAGAGAGAAGCCTCCAAACATCCATTAATCTGTCGGATTAGGTCTGGTGCAATTATCAGAAGCGCAGGGTTATACGATCGAGCGCAAACCAAACTGACCGCGCGCAATTTAAAGCAGAGTACCGCTCGAGACTCCATCGTAAGCCATCGAATGACCTCAGATATCTTGAACAAGGTCAAGCACAACAGTGTTTACACAAGAAAAAGAGGCTCAGAACATTTGATTTATAGAGCTTTCATAAATGTAATGTCATAAAAATAGCGAATAGCTCTATGTTAAGGCTAATTCATGTTACTAGGGCGAAACATGGACACGTAATGTAGCAGACGTTTCCAGTTCATATTTAAAAAAACAAAAGAACGATTAAAATGTCTTCTGTCCACACTAACAAGGATCACCAGGGGTTACCTTGCGCATGTGCATAATTAGGGTCAAAAATTTAACCTCGATACTGTTGCTGTCATTGATGTATGCAACGATAGTAGTGCTTTGGTGCGTGATTAAAATCAAAATCATTGAAATATCTAACAGAGAATTACAGTCTAAATAATCTCATTTTCATGACAAAAAATTGAGCTAGTTATTTGTTATTTTATCCAAGGGAGCTTGGCAAAAATGGCCAAATAAGGTATGCACTAACTTTATCATACGTTCGGAAGTTTGCATTTTGCAACTTTGCATCTTTTTAACCAGCGAGAACAATGATGACAGGGAAAAACTGACACGAACATAAAAGGTGCGGATGGTTTTAGTTTTGCATCTCGTTAGTTGATGGGAAAACCAAATCAAGACATTCCCGAGTTACTTTCCACACTCAATTTTAAAATTGCACCGACCGGAAAAAAATTGGTCCCAGTATTGGTAGGATGGTCAAGAAAAGACACGGGCACACATCAGATTATCAACAAAGAGCTGTCAAAATTTATCTTTAATGTAACATCCTTCCCGATGTTTACAAATCACACCACGGATGTTTTCAATTCAGCACCATGGCTTAATTATCTTCACTGAGCCCTTTATGTGAGCTTTGAACTCGCGCCACTGAAACACGTTGCCCATCCCTGTCAGGCACGACTTTGACATGCGTGCGATTTCTTGGTCTTTTATAACGTGATCCCAAATGTTGACTCCTGTCATTTCACCGATGAAAGATTGAATGGCTTCAAACTTTCCCCCCTTTGAGTCTTGCTCCTGCCCTAGTGTCAGGGCTCCATTTGCACGAATCACGTAACCTGTGAGGAAATTAACAAGAAATTCAGGAAAAAGATAAATTTACCAGTTAAAAAAGATTCAACTTTTGCTTTGATTAAGAAAATACCTGGAGGAAATGATAACAAGACCGGAAAGTGAGTTCATTCTTTCCTTTTTTTTTGATCAATGATATACCGATATATATTGTTTAGATCGTTATTCCCAATACGGACCATTCTTTGTTCATATTCAATTAGCTGTAGATCGCGCTAAAAATATTATTCATTGTGCAGTGTGACTTTGTAGTTGAAACCGTTAAGACGCTGAATAAACTTCGCTCGTCAAATTGTCTTGTCAGGATATTTCTTCATGCTGGAAGCGGAAAGTACATGAGGAAACAGTCTTCTTTCGCCTTTTTCAGCTTCTTACAGTGGTTTTTCTCAGCGTTAACTTGCAAACCACATATGGAGCATTCAAGCGGCAATTTTAACTGATCGTTTTTTGTCCGAACAAGGCAGTTTAGTTCACGGCGTAATTATTCGCGGTTAGTTTCCACGATAATTTTATGCAGTTTCCTCTCGGGGAGTTTCGTTTGCAGTGGTCTTTACGATGTAAATGCACACTGGGTTTCACTGAATGAAAATCAGAAACTGAGTGAATTTACCATAGGTTTCAAGTAGTTGACAACATTTAACGGTCAACAGTAAACATTGGTTTAGGTAGATTCCATGTAGAAAACAACCTTTTCACTGACTGTGTTCAATAAAACAGCTTTAAAGCATGTTTAAGCTTTGGTTTGTTTGGAGTATAAGTCTATCTACGTCTATCTAAAAACTACTTTTAAGTCTTCGTTTACTTCGTACTTCGTTTATTTCAATCAATCTTCGAATTTTGTGGAATCCTTACGGTTTTGTCATTTCAGCTGCTTCGTATAAGCAGTTACCTACACTATACAACTAATACTACTGCATGGACCGTTACGAAAAGAAGAATTTACCTGTTTGGAAACTTTTGCCAGAAGCGGCAACCGAACCATCTCGAAACAATTTCCATGATCCAGCGGTATTCTCCCATGTTACGCAGATATGATGCCACTTTCCATCATTGGCGGATACAGAAGTAGAACAACTATAATTAGCAGCAAAACGCGAGAAGTGTACTTTTAGTATCTTAAATCTCACAGCAACTTTAAATCAAAACAACTATTGTGATTAACAACAAGACAAAACTTCAGATGAAATACTCAAACCTCTGATCGTTGATGATGAACTTAAAATTTCTATAGTCATATAGGAGAAGCTCGTTGCGTCCTCCAGATACCAAATAACTCAGGGGTGTTCCTTCATTTCCAGTATCAGCGGTTTTTATCCACAGACAAACCGTCACAGCTGACAAGTTTGGCATACCACGTGTGATGATGACGTAATCACTGACTCCTTTTCGTGGAAATTGCAGAGCGTATCCTGCAACTGTAGAATTACTCAGTTTTTTTATTTGTCAAAACTGCTTTCGAGACCTCTTTAGATTTAATTGTTTTTGGCGCAACTACTGATTTGATACAATTCACAAGGATAGTTCAATAACAAAATGTTATATAGTTCTATAGATTACTGTTGACGCTTTCAGGAGAACTGTCACCCTATACCTTTTTCAAACCATTGGTCGAGTGAGTCTGATTACAACAACAGCTTTCCAAGAAATGTCGTTGTTGGTTTTTTTTTATGAGCATACCACGCAACCCCTCAAAAAAAATTTTTTTTCAAGCGTGAAAAGCTTGGTATCACAACCCAAGTGGCCGCTGAAAGAAGCGAAACAATTTTTTCATGATGCACAAATAATAACAGTTATGAGTTCTGTACAACTTACTAAGTTACTCGCCTCGTGCGCCAGCAGTTAACATTCGAGTGACAGGTTTCCACGCTATTACTAACGTAGTTCAGTATAGCCCATGAAAAGCTTAGTCCGACTAAAACTAATTCTGAAAACACAAATTTATGCAACCTAAACCGTGAGGAACTCAGAGAGCACTCTCTTTTCTAAATCGAAATTTGAGAAATTTTGGTGAGTGAGAAGCGCACAAGTAATGTATTTTTTAAAAGGTAATGTTTACAAGTTGCAAGGAGCAGTCCAATACAATGTAAAGGCATTCAGTAACCTCATCTACATCAAGAAAGAAAGCTAATCCCACCTTGTTTCTCCAAGCCTGTCAGCCTCAAGTTCATGGCGTGAAGTAAATTGGAAAAATCTTCATTCGACTCGCTTAATAACTTTACTTTCTTTTTGATTTTAGCCAATTCCAGTTTCGTTTCTCGGGTGGAAGACATAACTACTTCATTATGGTCTCCAGTGATGAAAACTTTGCCATCCGAGACAGTCTTATTTACTCGGGTGGATGAGGAAATGTGAGGTGAAGCCACAAAGATCAGGAGCAGATAAAAACGAATCGATTTAGTAGCCAACATAGCGACAGAAAGAGCTGAGGTCTGCTAATAAGACTGAGTCATCAAAGAAATCAAAGCAATTTTTTATTAAGCACGATGCATTTTTATTAATGCAAATAAAACAAGTTTATTTTTCTGTACGACGATAATGTTGCTTTTTGCGTTTTATAAGATACTTGTAACACGGTTGATTACCAGCCCATCAGTTGATAAACTGGACTTTTTTTGAGCGAGTATTTGTGATTTAAACATCATTTATACAGTTGCACTTCAATTTATCGTCTTCCTTTCCTTTTTTTTTTCCTTCTCCTTTTTTATTTTATTTTATTTTTTTTTTAGTTGCATTTTAGTTGAGTTTGACGTTTTCTTTCTCATGCTAATTTTTGACAAAAATAATAACACGCGTTCAAATGTGTACAGAGACGGTTGTCTACAATTATGTGATTTTGTAGCACACTACTGAATACACTACAAGAAGAGAAAAAAAAGAATAAGTTGCAGGAATTTGTCAAGTATATACACTGTTTCTGAAATGCCTTGCTCTGTCGGTATCGGAATTAAGCATTCCTTTGAAGAAGCTGTACGACAAGACGACGCATTAGACAATACAAGACGAGCCATGATAAGAGCAGTATTGTTGTTATCTTTCTCTCTCACTGTTTCACCTTTGCTAACACATCGATTGAATTACCTTACGAATTGCAAGCAAGTAGTGAAGTAAGGGATGAATAGCAAACTAAATTTACATTGTGAGCAACTGGGAAGCCGGAAAGCGAGCAACAGCATAGTAGATGTGGGCTGACAAATTGTGATGCCGATATTTGAAATTCAAATATACATCTTTGCGGTCTTAGTAATTGTTTTATTGGTTTCAAGAAAATCCGTGTCAACAGACCGGGATATTGACATTGAGATTTCATTCATGTTTGGATAGTTCAAGCGATTACATGAGCCCATGGCGATCATCGATCAGAAGAGAATTTTTGGAACAAGAAAGCGCGACGTTATTTTCCAACGTTGTCATTCTCATCTAAACACACCTATCGACCCATTAGAACAAACTTTGCATCTCAAATATTTCATCATTTAACATCTCGAACGTCACCAAAATTAAGATTGAGTCCACCAACAAATTCTACACTCCAGGCTTATTGGTAACCAGAAGGTTTTGATACCAAGGTCTCTGGTCTCCCGGGATTAAAATTAAAAGTACGTTGCGTTTTAAATGTTTTGATTGATATCAAATAAAAGATCATACGCTTGAGTAATATTTTCGACATGTTCTTAGTGATACTAAGATACTCCTTTATTCTCTGAAAATAGGATCTCTTTTAGCCTGTGCCAGGCCCGCAATGTTAATAAAGTTGTAGTATGGAAAACGTTAAATCTGAAAATATACAAGTTTGGTAGAAAAATATTTGTGAACATAACCCAACCTGCCCAATATCCAAAGTTCATAATTCAGTTTGATGATCGATATTTTCTGGGAGCAACCTACTTTTAGCTAATACTGCACCATTACCCTTCAGAAAACCATCCTGGCCGTTGTTTCTTTCCATGGTGCGCGGATTGTGCCACTTTCCATCGTTCTTAGATACGAAGATATTGTTTAACTGAAGAACATTGAAAGGAAACTCCCTCCTTACAAATCCATCGCGAAAAACTCTAATGATTGATGAAATACGGTTAAGATTATTGGTGAGATCGATTTTGAGTCTAGTGCGATAATGAATGAACCTGTATCCCCTCTTCGATCTCTTTCTTCGCATGAAGAGGTAAAATACAAAATTATTGTTAGACTTGGTTTTTTCCCGCAATATGAATGAAACACTGTGAAACCCATCTGAGTGGACGCGAAGCCCTTCGTTGTCCAATTTTCTCGGTCCTTTTCATACAGGCTCAAGGAAAAAGCACAGAGACAACCAGTTTATTTTTTTCGATATATTAAAATTCTCTCATGATGGGAAAGGAAGGGATATTTCAACCGTTAGGGTTTCGGGGGCAGTAATAACCGGGAGTTTTAAGAAAAAGCCCCCTCTTCATCAACCCCCCGTTCCGTGAATATTTACCATTTTTAAAACCGCGCACCTCCATACAACTGGTAACTAATTATTTCATCCAAAATGGCGGCGAACTTTTGGCTTTCTTCGCACTGCAATCAATGGCTCCTTGATCGTGAAGAAATCGAACTAGAAAGGCAACGAGACTACCAAAACCTTAAAGATGACGACTACAAGAAGATACAAATCTTTTTTATCAACTTTATGCAAGCTTTAGGCGAACATTTGAAGCTACGACAACAAGTAATTGCAACTGCCTCTTTGTACTACAAAAGATTTTATGCCAGAAATTCTTTGAAGAGTATTGATCCGCTTCTTATGGCTCCGACGTGTATGTACTTAGCTCACAAGACGGAGGAGTGTGGTGTGATATCTAACAGTCGTTTCAATGCAGCTTGTAACGCCGTTGTGAAGAACAAATTCTCCTTCGCTTTTCCCGGGGATCAGTTTCCGTACAGGATGACGCAGGTAGAGTATGTTTTCATCTTATCTTTCCATCTTAATGAGCTGTAAATTCGTGTATGCTTCACTTTTTAAGTTTAGGCACAAACAATCTTATCAATCATCCCTGCATGAAAAGATTTTTACTGAACTACACCGAATACAAGATAATCTATACCCACTCTATATATTGGTTTAATAAAGTACATAAGATAGGTTTAAAAGTATTTTTCAGCAAGAAGTAACATTGAATGCTATCTCGTATTCCGAGAACAGATCATTTATCAGTAAAAGACATTTAAGTTTTATTGTGAAAGAAGTCACCATTTATCAACAGAACAAGCTGCAAGGAAAGGCAAAGGAGAACGTTTGCAGGCATGAACATGTTATGGATCTAACTTAGAGTCATTTCAGCAGTTAAAATGGCTCTAAGAGGGCCCCAAAACATATTTATGTCCAAGAATAATAACCCTTTAACTCCCAGAAGTGATTAACATGTAATTTCCTCCTATAGTATCTAAACATCATCCAAACTTATCAACTAGAAGTTTTTATCTTGATCTAGCACCAAATTCTCATAACTTATTAACAAGGAAATGTGCAGCTAGAGGGGAGAATAAAAAATCAGATCGTGGGAGTTAAAGGGTTATTAACTGAAATTCTATTGTCATCACTCTGGGGGGCATTGAGAAAATAAACTGAAAAAATGGCACAAAACAATCTGAACAATAATACAAGCATGCAAGGTAGATACAATACATTGTAGCCTGCAAAATCTGCCCTAATGCCCAACAAAATGATGATAATATTCATCGATCTAATCTGTTTAAACAGTTCATGTATGTGGCTGTTACAGTGGGAGTGACTAATGTCAAATTCACTAGTTGTGGACAACAAGTAAGGAAACACATTGGTGTGGATATCATCCAAAACCCACCCTAACTCCTGTTTTGTGTTTGAAACAAAAACATGGTGGTCTTAAAAGTAGATATATGAGAGGAATAAGTTTAGCAACAAGAGTAAAAGCAAAAGAGATAACCTCTTTGGTAATTTTTTTTCTTGAAACTGTAAATTGAGAAACATTTGGGCAAGAGGGGTTGCATTTGGCAGTTTTACAAGAGGCATAATATGCAAAGACCATTATTTATACTACAAAATTTTTTACTTGAAAAGTAACTCCCACTTCCCTTAAAAATACCTGATATCCTTATCTTTGTTTTCCTTTTAAAAATGTTTCATCTGTTAAAACTTTTTCCTGAAGCATCTCTGGGAGCCAGAATGTTAAATCCCAAATCTGATAGTGGTGCCCATAACCAGTCCAACTTATCACAATACAAACTGGGGTCTGTAATTGTTTCCATGCCATTCCTGGTAATGCAGGAAAAAGAAAATAGGAAAGAATAAAATAAGTTATTCCCTGGACTAGGTCAATCCACATGGGAAAAAACTGTGACCTTGGTCTCTAGTATGGCAATAAGCCTTAGGTTCTACCCAAGACCTCAGGCACAGTTTTTTCAGTATACAAACCTCCCACCCAGGAAATGACATATATATCTTCCAGAGATTGCAAATGTAATTTGGTCAAGCAGAATCTCTTTACTGATTTCATTTGTTTGCTTGCAGGTTCTTGAGTGTGAATTTTTCTTGCTTGAGATGATGGACTGTTGTTTGATTGTGTACCATCCTTACAGACCTCTTACTCAGTATGTTGCTGATCTTGGGATGGAAGATGCAATCCTGCCAATTGCATGGCGCATTTTGAATGATAGTTTGCGAACAGATGTCTCTCTCATCTATCCCCCTTACCAGATTGCATTGGCTGCCATTTATATGGCTTGTGTCATTCAACAGAAAGATTCCAAGCAGTGGTTTGCGGAGCTATCTGTTGATATGGACAAAGTACTGGAAATCACACAGGAAATCTTGCAGCTGTATGAACTGTATAAGAGTTACGATGAAAGAGCTGAAATCTCTGCAGTACTAAGCCGAGCTCCAAGACCCAAAGTCAGGCCAACATCTGCTACACCCGGCCAGACTCCATCTCCTGTGCCACCAGAATCCTGACTGAGAACTTTATGACTGTCTTTCTCCCCTTTCCAATAGTATTTTGGGAAAAATGTTTTTAACCCTGTTACTTCCAAGATCTTATAGCACATGCAATTCAGCTTGCTGTCTGCCTTACAATTTTTATGATGTTAGCTCATAGAACTTGCTACTTGATTAACTAATACTCCCCCTAATTGATATTTTTCTATTTTCTTGTCACTTGTCTACTGGATATTGGATTGTTATTGTAAGCTGGGTCACTCATGAGAGTTGAAGGGTTAAATATACTTGAATGAATTTGAAGAACCAAGAAAGATTTGATTATTTATTCTGACTGTCTTGGTGAAGGTAGTCCTGATGAGGGCTGTTGTCAGGAGTGGTGACTGTAGTTTTGAAAACATTAGTGAAAGTCATCGTCAGACGCAGAAAAGATTATTTCACGTCAGTTCATTATTGGTTATTGTCCATACCCATTGGTAGAGAAATGCAAGGAATAAGTAAGAGCAACTTATGCATGAAAAGTGATGTTGTTTACTTACACTCTGTATTCAAAGGGGTATAATGTGGATTTGGCCAAATGTTTTTCATGATGTTAAAAGAGCTTAAAGAAACATTCTGTGCAGAATGATTGCACATTGAAATAGGTGCTTTAAGTAACTTTTTTTTCATGAGATTACACCATAACTCTCCTTTTCAATATATTGTCTTCAACCAGTGTTTCTATGGAGGTAAAGATTAGGGTTAGACACCCATAGAAAAAACATTAACAACCCAGCACTCCTTTCCCTGCTTCCCCTAAATTAGGACAGCAATTCAGTGCCACAGTCTCTGACAAAATTTAAGAACTGTAGGAAAGGGGGGGAGGGAAGAGATTCAGACCCTCCCCCTCAAGTTTGATCTCAAGACTATTTTCAGATACTCTAATTTTTGTGCTCATTTTACTTGCTTATTAAAACTTAATATTTTTCTGAATTTTCAGTGGGTTTGTGACCTTCATATGGTTCTTACTCTTAATAGACCTCTTTCATAACTGGCATTCTTAATTAACATTCTTAAAAATTTGATGTTAATTAGCCTTTCTGGCCTCTACAACAGGTTTAAAAACAATAGAATTTTTACTTACAAAAAAAAAAGTCAAGAAGGCTGATTTTTAGCACTTGAACAAAATGTAATCATACCTGTCATTATACCACATAATATCACGAGTTGTTACTGCTGGTTGAGTACTAAAAAATTAAGCAAAAAGTCAACAACTACAATTCTTTACAGACAAAAAAATGTTCTTTTCATTTCTAAAAATTTTGCAATGTTTCAGTTACGTAACCAATTGTATCACATGGAATATTTCAAAAAACTTACAGCTGCAGTAAAATTTTGCAAGTAACTGACCTGTGGCTGGTGGCTGTTAAAACTATCATTCTTAAGTTTATCCTGTTGGTCTGTGCTTTATTTTCAAAAAATTGAATCTTTGAGTTTTTCAGTCTTTAAATCCTTCATACCCAACATTGGTAGCAGCACTCACCTGAGAGAAAAGATCCTAGCTCTGTTAGGGCCTGAATTTTGTTTTCATGATTTTCTTTCTGGGAATTCACTTATCAGCCACTGGTCAAATAAAATCAACCTTTCACCTCCATAATTGACCAAGAATGAATTTCTCCTTACTATGTCAAAACAGTAACAAGCAGAAAGGTGATGAGAAGTAAGAAAAATATCAACTAGGTGGATAATATGTGATTTAACAGTGAATCCCCAGACACTGGGGATGTGGAAAACAAGAACTAATGATAATGAAAACTTACCTAACCTCTTACATGTGGCTTTGTAAATTAGTAGGTAAAAGAACACAATGAATGCACAGGAGGTATAGGGGTTAGAACAAAAAGAAAAGTTTAACTGTGCCATGGGTAGTGCAGCCAGATATTGTTTCACTATTAGTCAAAATTTATACAAAATTCTTGCTTGTGATTGGTTTTCAGCAACCCAATTTGAGCACTTGCAGGACTGTGTAGATGTCAATCTTGTAATTAGATTGTATATAAGACAATTTACTTTTTTCTTCTCTAATTATGTCCCAACAACAGTTTGGATAAATTAGTAACAGGCCTTTGTGTTGTCTAATTCTTTCTGTCATCAGACTATAAAGTATGGACATCTTGTATTCTGCTGCATACACCTTTATTGATATCTGACGGACTGTACCAGCAACTAAACTACTTGCTACATCTAGTTACAAGCTTGGCTTTTATAGGTACAGTTGAGGATCTAGAACGTTCCATGACATTAAAACAGATTCTATTTGTATATTGATTCAGGGATGACACAGCATGACACAGCTACTTCTAGAACATTCTTGAAGGTCACACTACAACTAATGATTAAAACTCAAATTCTTGCTGTAATAAATATTAAATAGAGGCTTCTCTATTTCAATGACTCTACTTCATCCTCTTAGCCAATTTGTCAATTTTGTTTACTTAGCAATTATGTCATAAGTTTTAACACATGGACATATATATAAATGCTGTTAGCAGCCTTCTCTCAGTGGTTCTAGTTTCAGCTTTACAGAGCTAGCATAAGTTTTTTTTGGTAAATTAAGTTTAAGCTATTAATAGCTATTAGCTATTAGCTATTAAGAGTACAAGCAGGAACTGATATGTAAGTACTGGCTATTTCTACCCCTATTCTTAAGCAAAAGTTTGAACTTATAGCATTTGTTCCTTAAGTTGCATTTTTTAACCAACCAACTTACAAAGTATCATTACAAGTCAAGTACATGGCTCCATGTGGCAGCACCCAGTTTTTCAAAGGTTCCATTTCGTTTTTCTGTAGCCTTGAATCTCCTGCAATCTTATGGCCTTAAGAATTTTATAGCTGGTATTGATTCGTGATTTCTGCTATCTTGTATCTGTTTTCATTTAGTAATTAGTTGATCCACTGCATTACATATAAATTTTCATTTGATTATCCTCAATAAATCATGGTTAATAACAGCTGATTTTCCATGATCTCTGGCCTTATTTGATCATTACATATTTCCCGCACACAAAGCTCAACGCAACAAGTTGTTGACAAGTGACCTTTTGGCTCTTCAAAAGTTGCTGAGAACTTGGCATTACACCTGCATCATGTTTGCCTAATTTTGTTTTATTAACTTTGATGATACCAGACTGAATTGGACACAGCTAAGTTATATTATAAACCTTATGGTAGAATAAGTTGTCTGAAACAAGTTTGATCCTTCCTAGTATCACACAGGATATCTTTTTCTAGCATCAAGTGAATTATGCCCATCTGTCTAACTTTCCCCTGGCCACTCTGATAGAGTCCCACTGACCCCTCTCCCCTTCCTAAATTTTCCTTGCTCTACACAGCCAGCTGATATTCAAAAATCAAAAGGCCTATTATGGAAGGAAAGGCCTAAAAGCTATTATGAGCTTATTAACCCTTTAACTCCCGTGTGTGACCAAGACAGAATTTCTCCTTAAAATATCAATACAATATCGACCAAACAAGTGATGAGAATAAAGAAAAATATCAATTTAGGGATAATTAGTTGATCCAATACTAAATTCTCTGACCTAACATTATAAGAATTGTATGGCTGACAGTAAGGAGAATGACAAATTTGATCTGGGAGTTGAAGGGTTAAAGCCCTTAGCTTTTCCATGAAATCTCTTTCATGCGTTCAAAATTTTAGAAAGGCAATGCCTTATATCCTCAAATATTATTTCACCCATTCTATCGTATCCCACTGGAGAAAAATGAAGATGATCTGCCCAAAGTGTTCTACGATCCTCATCACTCAGCGATTCCCGCGGTAACTTTGTAGCCAGGTCGGAGACAAGCATTTTACTTCCACATTGTTGTACAAAATTCTTTAAAAGCGCGTTCACTTGCAATCGTTTCTCTCTGACGACAGTGTACCCATCCATAGTTTCGTAACCGGTTTCCGGGACAGTCACAGCCACTGATAGAGGAGAATGCCGAAGAGCTAGCTCGTGCAGCGATCTCAAACGACTGAATAAAGGCTCTCCGTCCTCATCAAGACGCATGCCGAGGTTGTTTGTGCCTCCCAGGATGATCACTATGTCGAACGGGCCACCCTCGTCCAAAACCTCAGGAAGTCGAGCGTTCATTTCGTCAGTGGTTTCACCGCTCACGCCCTTGTTTACAATATCAATAGATTCTGTCTTGCACTCGGATTCCAGAAACATTTGCTTGACTAATCTGTTCAGCTGCCGGTTGATATGGTTCGCTATCACCCTCACTGAGAAGCGAGGTAACTTCCCGTAGAAGTTTAATTGCTTTAGCACTTTTGCATTCGTTTCGATTTTCTTGGTTTTTTTTTCTGGTTTCCTCTTCCACGTTTGTTGTCCGCCATGTTCGACAGAACAGTACACGAACACTGGTAATAATTAGAATAAATTATAGAGAGCGCGGGAAATGTTTCTCGCCCCGGGACTCCTCGTGAATTTCTTATCGCGAGGCTACCAGTCTACTTGCCGAACATAATTCGAGTAGCCGCGTTCCGAACATAATTCGGAGGAGCCGAACAAAATCGGAATAAACTCAAAAAAACTGCCAGCCTAGTTATAAGTGAAATACTCCCAACACAAGTTAAAAGAGCCGAACATAATTCCATGCAACGCTGGAACATAATTCTGTAGTTCGGCCGAATGAAATATCAAACACCATAACATAATTTGTTTTCTAAATTTGACCCTAATAACGCTCCATAATTACATGGATCAGTTTTTATCCTGTTGAAAAAAAACCACTTGAAACAGTTTCGTGGGACTAAACATCATCCTCTTTTACGATTAAAACGCAAATCACCTTAACGGATCTAAGCTTAGAGGACTCCAAACAGGAGATCTAAGTCTTTAATTTGCACAAATTAGCTGATATGGACAGCAAAAATGTCAAACTGACGGATTTGTTTGGAGATCTGGCCAAACAGAAGCTTTTCGATAAGTATTAACAATTAAGACATCCTTCAGTTCCACAGAAAATTAGGACAAAACAAATATTGTAATTGCGAATTTTTAATTTTACGAAATTGTATATATCTTGTCAATCTTAGGGTAAGTTATGGTAAACGGTTCCCATTCCATATCTTTCTGATAATCAGTTTTAATCTTAACTCGGAAGCGTATCAGCGAAATTTAGCAAATTAATGCAATGTACTTATGGAGTGGTTCATTTATACTACACAGTACTGTGTAGTTAGTTCCGTCAACAGTAATAGATACTGCATTTGAGTCAACCAACAGACTTCCATATTCCATCATCATACGTGTTCGTTAAGTCTTCCGCTACGTGATCAAGTCATAACAGGCGACCACAGAGCTGGTTCACTGAAGTATGGAGCGAATTTCGTGAAAACCGGCGAAAAATCGGAGATGAAAAACCTTTCGAACAACGCATCGTCGGCACTTACGCCATTAAACACTGTTCTGTCTAAACGAGAAGCCATTGTGTGGTGTTGTGCCTTTACAGTTTCATCTGCCATCATTATTACGGGAAATCTTCTTACTATTGCTCTCTTTACCATCAATAAAAGACTTCAGAAAAAACACTTCGTTCTTCTCATTAACATGGCCAGCGCTGATCTGATGTTAGGAGCTGTATCTCTTCCTGTCTTTATTTACTCAGTGGTCTGGAAAACGTATGAGCAAAGGCTAGAGGGAATGACAAGCACTTTCACAATTTTTCGTGGCGTTTCCACCATCTTTTACTCGCAAGCCTCAATTATTTTTGCAGCTTTCATCTCCGGTGAGAGAGTTTTCGCCACGTATTGGCCATTACGACACAGAGTGGTATCCTTGAAATCATATCGTAGCGTGTGTTATTCAGCATGGACCTCAGTTCTCCTAAGTACAGCAATTCTTTCTTTACTAAGGATTTTGGTGTCTAGAGAAGCTTATTCCTGGCTCTGGGTGCAATTCACCGCCAGTTTGATAACCATAATATGTGGTTGTAACATCGGTGTTTGGAGAAAGTTCCAGAAAAGACGTTTTACTCAGAATGCGAGATCATCACAGAAAAGACAGTTGACGAAGACATTGTTGTTGATATCGCTGCTTGCTTTGCTGTCGTGGCTCCCAATAATTATTTTAAACATCTTCCAAACTGTTAATTATTCTGTGAATAAAAACATTTATTTTACGGCAGTGTTTTTTAATATTTCAAGTTGCTTTGTAAATCCGGTAACGTATTTTGTAAGAATTCACGAGTTCAGACAAGCACTCTTCGCAAATTTCTACAAAAGAAAAACAATGCGTGGAGATACGTATGTTAGTGTTGGAAGAGACAGGGCTTTCTCAATCTTCTCAGTATTATCCAACGATTTTGTGGACGTTCTGGATACAAAATTGTAGACGAAGATTTTTCAGGGAAACACACTATGTAATAACATATAACTACAGTCTAAATTTAACGAAAAAACTGAACTCTCTAACCCTACTGTTTGTTGCAGTTTTGCACCTTTATAGGGCGATGTTATAACTCTTTATAACTAAAACAGAATTTGATTTCTGCTATTATTCCGTCGCCTTAAATTTTCATACTTTAAAATAAAAAGCATTTCTCTCGGTCACGTATAATGTAAAAACCAACATATATATTAAAACCTTAACAAAAAGAAGACGTTATTACAAATTTTTTTCTTAATATTACGAATGACTCTTGAGAGTAAAAAACCTTGTAATAAGTGTGTATAACTCAGAACTTTTGTACTCTAGGTTCAATTAAACTATTAGTAGAATTCTATCTAAGGAAACTTAACCTTCAACTGTGTCAAAGGACCATTAGCGCATTGTCAGACTAGAATCCCAAGCCGGTGTCAGTAAACAGGTGGTCGCATTTCAATTTACACCTCTAAGGCGACATAACCAACCAAAATTGTCAGGTGCGACATTACAGCCTCCATCTAGCAAAAGAGTTTCGGCTCGAATCATGATTTGTGCGCGAACAGTCTTCGGACAGCTCAAGGAAAATTTTGAGATTTGTCTCAAGTCTAAATTGAGATGGGAAAGCTTTCTGCAAATAGCAGGAAGGAAGAGAGAAATTTTAGAGAAGTCGCTCAAGGGAACGTTTTAAAGCGAACATCCTGTTTGTAAACGCTTTTGTCCTGTGTGCTAAATAAATATTAAGTTATTAGACTTGTACATTTGCATTGGACTTTATCCTCCGTTCCTAGAGGCACAAAGGGTCACAAAGATTTCCTCGAGCTTCTCTTTCGGAAACCGTCACCTCTAGCATCAAATAACGTCCACTGAAAAAAATTATATTTTCCCGCCCAGTGGAGGTTATCGTCGAGTTCTCAGTGTTCCGCATGTCGCACTTTTCAACAAGCTAGTACAAGCTATAACCCACCCACTAATTTTCGCGCGGTTCTATTTACGTTGCTTGTTGCAAAATCACCGGATGGTTATCACGCAATAACCTCCGTCTACGCCGAAATTCGTCCTCCAATTATTTCCGTCGAAAAGAAACTAAGCCAACGGAATAAAGCCAGCTCAATAGTTTCACTTTTTCATCTTTATTACTTTACATGAAGACAAACGAACTGCTTTTGACATTAAAAATATGTTCTCACACGCAGCTAAGGAGAGTATAAAAAAAGTCAATTACATTTATGAAAAAATTTGCTTTCAACGCACGTTACGAAAATAAATATAAGGTTTGATAATAAATAAATCTCTCATTTGCCCTCGAAGCTTCGCTTCTCGGCCAAATATTCATTTTTCGAACAATTCTCAGCTGCGGACATTATAAGCTAACGAACCAGCCGCCTGAAGGGTTTATTTATCAAGTGCCACAACCATTGTAATTATGCATAGATTATCGTAAAATGCGTCGTTATTATATGGTGCCGCAGTACAAACATCCTGCAGCAAATTGAAATATGTTTCTTGAATCTTGCAACGCAGCATTATTCTACAGGGTGTGTATTTGTGGTTTCCCTCACCGATCTCACCGACATATCAGAAGAACAAAGCGCGATATTTGACGATATTCGTTTGCATTGCTTTTACCAAGCACTGCATGTTTTGCGGCAAAGTTGAGATAGTCACAATTTGCGTCAAGATTTTGTTACAAATTGCGTAGACCGACGATCATCACAAGATGCTGAATTCTTTTTTCCAAGAACATTTGTCGCACTTGCAACTTGTATCGATAATTATAATTATACTTACAATAATAGTAATAATAATAATGATGATAATTTGAAAAAAAACTTTAATCACTAAAAACATTTTCTATTATTATGATAAAATCCTTAAAAAATCGAAAAATACATTAAAATGTCTTGTAAAAGTCTATGAAAAACTGACGAATACACGCTTCGTTTACGTTTACTTCTTGAACTTTAAAGAATAATAAGATAATAAAAATAAATAATAAAATCTTGCTAGTTGGCTACCGATTCCAAAACCCCACTAATCTTAGATGTGAGGAATATTAAACGCTGTAATCCTAAAATCTCGCTAGTTCCTAATCAATTTCAAAATCATTTTCTGTAATGCTCAGCGGAGCTCTTCGCGTACATCGTGAGCCTCTCATGCATAGCAGCACAGACCTCAGGAGGGCGAATGAAACTTAAGTGCGAATCCATGACATTGTAGTACTGTAATTCTCTCCCTTCTTGGTTGATAAAAGTTCAAAGGACTCCATGAGACTTTGCATTCGGGTAACACATCCTGACATCAAAAAAGGCGGAGCCTTGTCGAGCTGGGCATCCGCTGCTCTGTTCATACCAGGTGTCAGCACTTCTCCGTTTATCTCCTGAAGTACCGGTTCAATTTGGACATCATTGCACACCATCTTTAGCATTTCGGCTTCTAAATCACGCAACTCTTTATGTCTTTGAATAATGAAGCCCCCACGTCTGCATACCATGGCGTGATCTACATCAAAAAAATCTCCATACACATAAGTAGACGGGGTGTCGCTTATTTGCCGATCATATCTCAGATGAATGGCAAATAATAATAATAATAATAATAATAATAATAATTATAATAATTGTAATAACAATTATATATATATATATATATATATATACATACATAAAAATAATGACAATGATAACAATAATAATGGAAATGATAATGACAATAACAATGATAACAAAAGTGATAGTGGTGAGATAGAGAATGATAATGATCATAGTAGTAGTGATATTAGTGAAAATGACAGTGTAAATAACGTGTCTCTCAACAAAAATACCATCTGCATTTATTCGGCTTCAAGATCTTCTTGTCGAAATGCAGAAACGCTCGAACCCAGACCACCCGATCCGGAGTCGAGCGCACTGACCATGAGGCCACCGCGCCTCCACATACCCTCTCTTTGGGGGGGCCAAAAACTAAAATCAACCCCTATTTTCATTCTTCCATTTCATTTTTCTTTTTTACCAAACTCAGTTTCTACACTGGTTGGTTCTTCTTTTTTTTCAATTTTTTATTTCGAAAACTTGAAGCAGTCAGGGCTAGCCTCATTCCAAAGCCCAAATTTCTCCGTGGAATAAACTTAATGGAAATCACGGGGCCATTGTCTGGTCGACGCTTAATTAGCGTTTAACAGGTTGTAGAGCTGATAAATTTTGTAACATTTTGCTACTGACACTGAAGTATGTTCCTCATGAATGATTTGTGTTAACTGTAGAAGCATTTTAGGCGTGCTTGTAGGCATGATGAATCCCCTGGGGCTACTAGGCTATTTAAGATTTTGTAAGTTATGCAAGAGCCACTCGAAGGCATCCCTTTCAACTTTGCTCTTGTGTTCATTCATTACCGTATTTTCTTTATGATGTAACGCTCGCTGTATCCTGCATCAATAAACGAGATACCCGCTCCTGATGCTGTGTTTGTGTTTATTAAGATTAGTTACAAAATATTTTATAATCGTTTCAAGGTGATTAGAATATAATATGATTTTTGCTCCACATTCCGGATGAAGAAGCTGGTAATCGTCACGAACAGAAGCGAATAGTGTCTTAATAGGTTTGTACTTTAAGGACTGGTCAGTCACAGGACGGGGTCCTTCTGACTGCCTTGATCTTGGCCCTTCTCATGTAAGTACCCCGCTGCAATGCCCGTCCTTCCTTCCACTGCTTGTGTAACAGGAGTTTCACCAAGCCTCTGTTCTAGTCCCCTCCACGATCTTGATGCAAGGTACTCCGCTAAATCAGAGATTTTAGCAAGGATCAGTTTCTGATTAATGACACATTACTTTACAATACATGATGGATAATTGTTTTCCATATTCTTTTTACCAATCAATGAAAATTATTTCCATTCTTAATCGCTACAAATCTTTGTAAAACATTGGTGCTGTGGAGACGTGTAGCTGGAGCTGGTTTAGCACCATATCACATCAGCTAGGAGAGCACGAATCGCGAGTTACGAGTGAGTGGAGGAAGTCGCTACTCCCACGCGCGATTCCCACTCTCCTCGTTTGCGCCCTGATCTCCACTGGCCTAAAAACACAAAAGACACCCATTTTGTGGGCTAGAAAAGAAGATGCCCTAATTCTCTCTTAAGACCA